AAACAATTATCCCAAAAAAAAAATCCGAAACAAATTCACAGAGCATAAACCCAAAATTCTGTGATACTCTCAAGATTAAAAAACACCCCAGGTGCATTAAGAATAATAAAGATTTTCGTTCCTTTTCAATTGTAGTTTAAAAAATAAATTCAATGGTTGTATAGAATTCTCATTTCATAGCCAGAACAAAATAAATAAATTAAATATTCAGCCAGAAATCATGACTATTGGAATGTGAATCTTTGAGTGATTGTTATACCCGCGTTCTTCTTTTGTCCAAGGTGTTCCCTTTTTCCTCTCAACTTCGTTCTTCATCCTGTGTCCAAGCAAGAACGTAAATAAATTACACAAAATGAATAATCTTCTCCTGGAAAATGAATGACAAGCAAGGAAACAAGAAACAAAACCTTACCTTTTTCGACCTTCTCAAAATCTGAGCCATTTCACAGCGAGAATTAACCCAGCAGGAATTTTTTTTTCGAAAATTATAACACTGATAACTCGAAAAAAAGCAACAAAAGGAACACATCGATTAAACAAAGCTAGATCGACCCAAGGAAGAAGATTAAAATCCAACATTTGAAAGAAGGCGGAAAAAAAAAAAGATCGAAGGAATCCACCTAAGATCCGAGCCTTTTAACAGCGAGAATCAACCCAGACAGCGAAAAAAATTCGAAAATTAGACCACTAATAACCCGAAAAAATGCAATAAAAGGCAGACAATGACTAAACAAAGCTAGATCGACCCAAGGAAGGCGAAGAAAACCCAAAAATTGAAACTATTTGAAAAAAAAAACATATCGAAGGAAAAAACACCAAAAGAAAAAAAACAAACACAGGTAGATCGACGAGGATGATCAGACCAACGACCAAAGTTAGATAACCAGGGAACCGAAGTCGGATTTGCGGAAGGTACCAGATCGACGATGACGAAGAGATGACGGGAGTTTGAAAAGAAGAGAGACGGAAAGATCTCAAACAAAAAAATCCTAAGACAACAAGTCGCATTATTGGAGGTATTAAAAAATCCAATTACCAAAATGACGTCGTTCTGCCATTCACAAAAAACGGTGTCGTTTTGGACATTCCATAAATTCTACAGTGACAAGCCTCCTCACTCTTTTATAGAGTGATGCTACAAGTACATAATAGTCTATATAATGGTCTACATAATTGCAAGTGGCATTGATCAATACCTTTAATTCAAATCTGACACTTTCACATCAACGACAGGATGGTTGCCACATCACATTATGTCATCCATTGTATACATTTATTATGTACACTCAGCATTTTCCCTTTTTATATGTGTAGGATATGAATCTGTGAAGATCCTGAAATTTGTGTTAATCTAATGAAACAGGTGCGATGAAGGAAATTACTTGTCACTGATAAATCAAACATATCCAAGGAAGAGAAATCCTAGAGTGCTGGATTTATTTTGGGGTAAGTTTGGGTGGTGAAAAATGGAGGCTACCGTAATTGGATCGGGGAGGCGTAGGGGGAGAAAAAGGAAGATAAGGGATGTAGAGAATGTAACAGTGGATCGTGATGGCAAGGCGAAGATAATGGAGACTAGGTCGAAAAAAAAATAGTTGGTATGTAATGAAAGAATTTGACGGCAGTGGGGTGTTTTTGGGAAAAGTTGCGTCTTACAATTCTGGTTTGTACAGGATGAATTACGAGGATGGTGATTATGAGGATTTGGAGAGTGGGGAATTAAAGGTGCTTTTGGTTGCAGATAGCAAAGTAATTGGTGAATGGTTGGAGAGAAAAAAGAAATTGGATGAGCTATTGTTAAGTAAAGATGTAAAGGCAGAGAATTCTAAATTTGAAAATGCACTCAAGCCAGCAATTGCTACTATCGATAGTAATATTGAAGCATTGCTGATAAGTTAGCCCACAAACGGTGGGGTTGGTGCTATTGAAGTGGAGGAGGTCCAAGAAAAAGCTATTATTTGCGCGGATGGTGATTCATCAAGTGATTCGTGTGAGGATGCTCAGGAGCAAAATGTTAGTCTGGAGGAGGAAGCACATGTTGTTCCTCCGCCAGAATTGCCTCCTTCTTCCGGGCACATTGGTGTCCCAGAGGAGTATGTTTCACACCTTTTCTCTGTATATAGTATTTTACGTTCATTTAGTGTCCAGCTGTTTTTGTATCCTTTCGGATTGGATGATTTTGTGGGGGCACTCAACTGCTCTGTCGCGAATACTTTGTTGGACTCTGTACATGTTGCTTTAATGTGTGCCTTGAAGCGCCATATTGAAAGGCTCTCATCTGAAGGTTCAGAGCTTCCATCAAAGTGCTCGAGGTACTTTATTGGAACTGTTAGAATTCCTTTCCATTTTTTGGATTTATGTACTTCAATTGCTGTTTTGGCTGTTAATGAAAGTTGATGTGTATGTTTGATGGAACTATTCATTTCTTGGTTTTGCTTGCTTCTATCATACTTGGGTAAGAAAAAGAATGCAAAATCACTCTCAATTTGTATCACACGAAGTTTTCTATGAATTTCATGTCTACGACCATGCCGTTTGCATTTTTTCACTAATCCTCATGTATGACCGTCAGAATAGTTTGATCATGACAAGTTTTCCCTTTATACTGAACAAATTATTGAAATGACATTTTTATTTATCCACCCTATGCATGAAGTGTTCTCCTGCTAGTTATTACTTGAAAATATTCCATCAAGGAACACTCACTGTATGATCGTGTTGTTTCTGTGTGTCATTTTTCGCGATCGATCTTATATTTTTCTTGCGATTTCTGCTCGCAGGTGCTTGGATTGGAGTTTGCTTGATTCATTGACTTGGCCAGTTTACTTGGTCAACTATCTAATGATTATGGGATATACAGATGGACCTGACTGGAAAGGATTT